ATACAGTTTTCATCTTTTTCAAAAGAAATCTTCTGAAAATTTCAGTGGTTCCAAAACTGATTAACTCCCCTTTTAAACTTGAAACAATGACCTTTTTAAATGTTCTTCGAGAAAATAAGCATTTTCAAGAATCAAATTTTATTTGTTATTTGCTTGATATGGTTCTCAATTCAAGTGCAGTACTTCTTGCAAGAACATCATAAGTCACTTGGTTAGCTGTCTTCTCAGCTTTGATCAAGGCCTCTTTACTTCAAATTATTTCCATTTTTGTGAGACTCATCCAAAAGAAAAATGCATTTAGAGGTTTTTCATCGGACTAATTTGGTTAACAGAAGTTATGTTTCGAAAACGGTATCAGGGGAGTGATTTAATTTACGTGGTATCTCAGTATTTCCAATAGTTTGGAACTTCGTCCTTAAAGTTTGTCTTTTCCTGAAAAAGAACACATCACTTACTTATTTTTTGCTTCCCAGTCTTAAACGATTTTGCTGTGATTTTTTCTCATCCAAAAAAAATGGAAGATGAAGCTGATTTAGAAGAAGAATTTTAAGATGAAGCATGGGAATTGTTTAAAACCAAGGTCGGAGACAATACCTTAAGTAGGGATCCCGGCATTGTCAAACTAGCAAGATGGGTTGCTGATAAATGCGGGGGTCTGCCACTTGCGCTTAATGTCATTGGTAAGGCAATGGCATCTAAAACTACGGTACGAGAATGGGAGCATGCCTTCAATGTTCTAACTAGATCCGCTGCAGAGTTTTCTGACATAAAAAAAAAAATTCTTCCGGCTCTGAAGTTCAGCTATGATAGTTTGGGGGATCAACAATTACAGTCGTGTTTCTTGTATTGTGCTCTGTTTCCAGAAGATCATCAGATGGGGGAATACCAAGTTATAAAAGAAGTGTATAATGAGGGTTATGCAATGCTTGGTACCCTTATCCGTGCAAATCTATTAACGGAGGTTGGTACAGAATTTGTTGTAATGCATGACGTGGTTCGAGAAATGGCTCTGTGGATTGCATCCGATTTTGGGAAACAGAAAGAGAATTTTGTTGTGCAAGCAAACGTCGGATTAGTTGGAATACCAAAAGTAAAAGATTGGGGAGCTGTGAGAAGGATGTCATTAATGGAAAATGAGATTGAAGAGATAACATGCAGTTCCAAGTGTTGTGAACTTACAACTCTGTTCCTCCAGCAAAATATATATTTGAAGAATCTCACAGGTGAATTTCTTCAGTCTATTAAAAAGCTAGTTGTCTTGGATTTAACAAAAAATTACAGCTTGAGTGAACTGCCAGAGCAGATATCAGAGATGGTCTCCTTGCAGTATCTTAATTTGTCGGAGACAAGTATAGAGCAACTGCCGGTTGGTCTCCAAGAGTTGAAAAAGCTAACTTACCTGAATTTACATACTACAAAGAAACTTAGTAGTATCAGTGGGATATCAAGGTTGCTGAGTTTAAGATGGTTGAGTCTGGTAGAATCTAGAGCTCATGGAGATGTTAGTTTATTAAAGGAGCTGCAGCTATTGAAGAATCTACAAAATCTACAGATAAAGGTATCAGCGGAGTTAAGTTTGGAGCAAATATTAGGGGATCAAAGGTTGGCAAACTGCGTAACTGGTCTTGAGATTGTCGATTTTCAAGAAAAGCCACTCGATATCTCATCCCTCGAGAGTTTTGAGAGTCTTCGTGAGCTATGGCTGGCAAGTTAAATGCTATAAGTGTCCCACGACTTGATGACTTTGGAATATGGACGAAGGAACCTTCTGACCTCGAGTGGGAGGACGAAGATACCAAAAATCGATTCATGCCTTCCTTAAATCGGGTAATTAATGGTCACTCTTATTCTCTTCTTATGCTTGAGTTTATAACATTCTTTGCGTGCTTTTTTTTTTCTTCAAGTATGGTTCATTTGATCGGGTAGTCGTTTCTTATAATCAACTCAGAGTTGAAAAATTAGACCGCATGCATAACAGATAGAATTTGGTTGTGCCTCTCAATTTCAATGCTTTCCACAAAAGTGTTTGCTAACATTCTTTCAATTTTTGTTTTCCCACAAAAGGGATTAGGCACTTTATAAAGATGCATTACTCAGGATTGGGAATCCTCACCGTCTGTCTAAAACCAGAATCCTCACGTTTCTTCTTCTGCTTCTTCTACTTTCCATTGCTTTCTCTTTCTTCCTCTAATGTTACTCAGTTTTCTTATTGTTCGTTTTGGTTTTGAGCTTTGTATCTTTTGCTCTTTCATCTCGCAGCGTGTTTGTGTTATTCATTTTTGTAATAAGTTATGTCTAAATCGAACTCGCTTTCTCAATCAGAGAGTATTCTATTCAGAAAGAGAGTATGCCAATCCACTAAACCGTACAGTCTATGAATAAACTAAAATTGTGATATAATCTTCAAACCCAACAGAGCTAAAAGGGAAACAAGTCTTCACCAAAACAAACAATGTCTAAATCAAAGTGACTCAATCAAGTCTTCAGAAAGAGATGCAAACAACAATTAAATGTAAAATGGTATATACAGATATCATTTTCATACATATTTTTCAAAACAAATCCTCTGAATTTCAGTAGTTCAAAACCTGATTAGCTCCCTTTTCAAACTTGAAGAAAATGAGCGTTTTTAAGAATCAAATTTATTTAGTATTTGCTTGATATGGTTCTGAATTCAAGTCCAGTTCTTGCAAGAACATCATAAGTCTTGGTTAGCCTTGACGACCTTCTTACTTAAAAAATATTTTCATTTTTACGGTTTCGTTTTTCTTAGTGTACTTTGCTAAGAAAAAAAGCGTTAAAGAGATTTTCATCAGATTAATTTGGTTAAAAAGAAGTTTTTCTCATTGGCTAATTTTGGATAGTTCACAAAAACTAGTCGTATCTTTTCTCTAAACAAAACAAAACAAACATTTTAAACAAAACTAGTTGCGAACCTCTTTCCTAAAAAAAAGAAAATAAATCTTCCCATCTTCTTCCTTGTATACAGAAGAAGAAGACGATGATGATCTTCAATCACTATCATTTTCCCTTGAACCCTAAATAATTTTTGGTGAAAACTGGTTTCATGTATATAAATGCATAAACTTGGTGAATTTTCATAAAGCTAATAGAAAGAAATGAAGGATTTTGGCCAAGGGACCTAAGGATTCCGCTTTGCTCCAAAGTTAAAGACGCAGCCTCTGGAGGATTTTGGTCTATTCCGCCACCAAGATCGAATCCCTCTCTTTTGCTTCATGCTCATCTCACCACAATCCAGGCTCCATCTCTCACCTCTGTTGAGGATCGTTACTCTTGGGTTGTTGAGAACGCTTCTCAGAATTTCTCCGTCTCTAAAACTTGGGAAGCGTTAAGGCCTAGGAAATCTGTGAAATCTTGGGCGGGTTCTATTTGGTTCAAAGGAGCGATCCCGAAACACGCTTTCAACATGTGGATCACGCACCTCAACAGGCTCCCAACAAGGGATCGGCTGGCTTCTTGGGGAATTTCCACCTCTTTGGACTGTTGCCTCTGTTCGTCCTCTGCAGAATCCAGAGATCACCTTTTCATCAATTGTGCCTTCTCATCTGCTATTTGGCGACTTGTTTGGTCAAGACTTGATCCCTCTCGGCTCATCTTTGTCTCCTGGGAAGAGCTTCTCTCTTGGCTCAGAACCAGTCACACTGCTGCAACTGCTGCAACTGCTGTGACTGCTGCGACTCCTTCATCCTCTCCGTCGCCTTCGCCGACTTTGATCCGAAGGATAGCTGCTCATGCCACGGTTTATCATATCTGGAAGCAAAGGAATAATGTTTTGCACAACAACTTCAAGCTGCCCCACCAAGCCATCTTCAAGCTGATTGATAGGGAGATTCGTAACGTCATCTCTGCTCGTCGCCACCGGAAGCATTTTGGAAACTTGATGCAGCTCTGGATTAGATGATTTAGTCTCTTTCGTGATGGGCTTTTGCTTTTCCTCGTTTATTGTTGTCCTGTTTTTTATCTTTTTTTGGCTGGACATCAAACCTCTAGGCCTTACTCTTGTAGCCCCTAAAACTTTCATTTCCTAATGATATTTACATTTATATCAAAAAAAAAAAAAAAAAAAAAAAAGAAATGAAGGATTTGTAATATAGTTCGTAAATTTAAAAAACATAAAAGAGATGTTGGGGAACTAGTTCGTAGTTTAAAAAACATAATTTTGCTTTTTAGTTAGTCCAAAAAGAAAATAAAAATTCATATGGTAAGCGAGATACACATAGAACTAATTATCAATACAAAAGAAATGGCATATGCATATATTAATTTTCAATAAGATTATGGAACTGGAACACAACGATATAATAGAAAAAAATATAACAATGATGCATCATGCATGCATATCTTTACTATCTTTGGATCTTGATAATGCAATAATAATGATATCTTTTTATGAAGAACACAATAATCTTTGAGATTATCCTACCAAAAAAAAAAATCTTTGAGATTAAAAAACCAAAAACTTTTGGTCGGTGATAAGTGTTAAGATTATTAAAGATTTAAAAGACTGTTGTGTCAGAGAGAGACTCTCAATTCTCAGTAGATATTTTTCTTCTTCTTTGTTTATATGCTTTTTTTGGGGAATCCTAAGAAAAACAAAACCGTGTGAGACGACCAAAACCGTCAAACGAACAACTTGTCGCCACGTCATCACATGAACCACCCACGTTGGTTCTTTCTCCGGCTCATAGTTCGCCACGTGTCCTTTCCCAACGGCTAGTTTTTTTTTTGCCCTTTAAGCCGTCTTTTGCTTACCAGGAAGGAAGGAGGGAGAATAACAAAATTTAAAAAATTTTAAGATATTTTTTTTTCTTTTTCCGTAAGGAAATTTCCAGTGTGTTCTACTTTACTCGTTTTTTGTATTTAAAATATAAATATAGTAACTTCAAAAAAGATAAAATCAAAATATTAATTTATCTACTATAAGTAGTTCTCCTTCTTCATCTTCCTTTTGTCACAAATTGTAAAACCAAAAACAGAAAGAAAAATTACTCATTTTTCTCAGCTTTTGTTCACTTATTTCCCACAAAACATACTTCAAAGACTTACATCAACAACAAATCTTTTGGAGATAATCTTATTAATTCATAGGTTTGTTCTTTCTTAGCTTCTTAGATTCACTTTTCCTTTATGTTCTTTCTTCAAATCCTCTGTTTTTTTTGTTGTTGTAAAGATCTGATTTTTATTGTGCATTTGGTGATGCAGATTGACGAAAATGGCATTGGGGAAGAAAAGAATCGTAACCCAGAAATCGAATTTGAAGAATCGTCGAGATGTGGGTGATTTAGGGTTAGGGTTAGAGTTCGTACAGTACAAGAGAGGATTTGGGAGGAAGAGGATTCTGATATCGTCTAGTGATGAGATTGAGGATTCGGTTTTAGCTTCACCTGTTGGGAGAAGCTCGTCGAAGAAGCTCTGTGATAAAGTTTCTTCTTTGGTTGGAGATTGTCAAAGTCGAGAACTTGAAGATCTTCCACAAGATATTTTGGTTCGTTTCTTAACTTAAAATCTTGTTTTGGTTTCTGGGTTTTGTTAATTAGTTGAGATTTCTTGTTAATTTTTGAAGTTTTAAATCAGATTTGAGCTGAAAGGTGAAACCTTTTTGTGTGTTTCTGAGATTCAAAATCGTATTTTGAAATGAGAAAGTTTTTAAACTTTTTTGGGTTCTGTTAATTAGTTAAGATTCCATTTTTGTTGATTAGATTGAGCTGAAATTTCCATTTATTTTTTCTTCTTTGAGATTCGAAATCGTAAAGGAAATGAAAAAAAATCATTTTCATCCTTATCTGATTTTTTGGGTTTGTTCATTTAGTTGAGATTTCATGTTAATCAATCAGATTGAGCTGGTTGACCAAAAAAATAATCAGATTGAGCTGAAAGTTGAACCATTTTGTTTTTCTGAGATTCAAATTCGTATTCGAAATGAGAAAGTTTTAAAAAATTTCATTTCTGGAGAGCTTTTGTGTTATTGTGCATAGAGTTTTTGAAGTTTGAACATTTTAAAGACATTTGGTGATTGACCATATGGTTTGTTATTACAGGTGAGGATTATCTGTGGAGTTGAGCATGAAGACTTGAAACAATTGTGTCATGTTTCCAAGACAATGAAAGAAGCTGTAAGTAAAGTTTTCACCATTACTAGATTTTGTTGATACTCAATTAGTTGATGATTATGAATCTGATAGTTCTTTGTATATTGTTTACAGACATTGATCGCAAAGCAGTTACATTTTGCGTATAGTACACCTAGGAAAACCTCGAGTTTCCACCATGGAAGATTCGGTTGGGACAAACCGTTTGATGCAGAGAATGATGATGAAGAGATTGAAGCTCCAGGAGCTCCACTGCAGAAAAGGTACCGCCTTTCGCGGGTAAACCATGACAAGGACGATTCTGGAGTCTCAGTTGCTCTGTTCAACTGATTCAAACAACTTGGTTTGAGGCAGCTAATACTATCAACTTGGTTTCTTCAAGATCCTTAATTGAAGAAGAGGGTTCTAAGTTATGTTTATTCGTTTTTTTGGTGTGGATAGGTCTCTGTAAATTGTTGTTAGATACAAAAACAAAGATAGGGTTTTTGGAAAGGCTAGCTTGTTTAGAAAAAGGTCACAAACAAACTCTTTTGGAGGGTTCTAAATCTTTTTGTATGTTGTGCAGTGTGAATATAGTTTTATTTGGTCTTTTACAAAGTGAATCAATAATAAGAGATGGATATTAATTTCATTCCATTTACTTTTTAGTCTCTTGACTTCATTTCAAAGTGTTCATTAGTTCATTATTGATTACATGATCATTAGATATTACACCCCCAATACCAGTATTCCCATTCTGAAGGCAGAATCACAGTATTTGGGTATAAATGGGCTGTATCAATTGGGCCTTTGTAGATGTTTGATGTTTCCAAAGATCAGTGCTTCCACGAGATGTACCCTCCAGTTCAAAGAGTAATGCGTTGATTTTGTGAGTGTTGATTAGCCTATATCGTATTCAAACCATAACTAAAATCCTAAACTAATTGGTTTAAAACTTTACACATATTACAAATCTACAATGGTGCTAAGACCATGTGGTTAAAGAGAGTATTTATAGTGTGAACTTAGACTATTGAACTTGAGATTACATAGCAAGAAGGTGAAGGTAGACATGGTTTTGAAAGTTTGGATATTTAGAGTTCATTTTGTCTGGTACACAAAAAAATTGGAGTACATTTTGTCTTTTCACCCAAAAAAAAAACATATGTTTAAGTTTAATGGATTAGATAATTATGTCAAAATTAAGTTTAGATGATAAACTAACCTATATGCGTGGTTGTAACTTGTAATTGTAAACCTCTCATGCCTTATCCAACAAAAAACTATGTTTAGTATAAGAAGATGATTCCAAAATGAGAAAAACTGTTTCTCTTTGGTAGGAGGAAAACCACATGCCAAAGATTTTCTTAGTTACTACTAAAATGACTCTTCTACCAAAAGTTATCAAAAATGTTGAATCCAAACTATTATACATAGTTTACAACTTAACTCTCACATAAATAATTTATGTTATTTTTTTGCTTTTTTAATAATCAAATTGAAGATGTATTAGGTATTATTACCATGATAACTCTTTTTTCATTCATAATTATTTTGCAAAGTTTAGGGAATCCCATTCCTAACTAAGATGAGTTTGGGATCATTCATTCACTGTTAATTAATTTTTCAGTTGAATTAATCCTATAAAAAAACATTGTATTTTCTTTCAACTCATCTCATTACAAAATCAATTGTTTGAATATTAAAGAAGTGAATCAAAAAATACATAACTAGATTATAAAAATATGGTTAGTTGAAGATTATGTGTTGAAGCTTAAGGACAAGGCTTTACCTTTAGTTATTATCAACAACACCTATTAGCCTAGCTTGGAGCAAAGATGACTATCCTCCCATGTGCCACTAAATTACAACATGTCTTCGTCAAGCAATCTCAAGTTATAATCACTTTTGGTTCACGAGTTTATATCAATAATTACTATTTACCTTTTTTCTGACTCGTATAATCTTTGAATTGGTCCTAGCTTTATTACGGTGATAATGGGATATCAATAATTCGATCAGGGTATATAATCTAGAAAAAGAAGTTTGGGTAACAGTTAGAATTATCTCATCCGATATTCAAAAAGATAAAAAGTTTTGTTTTTTGAAAAAAATATTGTTAGACTAATTTTTCATCAAGTGAATTCTATAATCTCTATTGGAGAATATTGTACTCTTCACGGGATCTCTGTTTCCTCGATTATATCGTCGTAAGAATATAGACAATTTTATTGTTTCTCTATTTAAAAGTATAACTTTCTTTTCTTTTTGTTAAAGAAAAAAATCTATGCAGAATATAATATCTCAATGTTATTATCAGATTATGAAGGTAAATTATGTTTTGTTTTTTTAGACTATGTCAACTCAGTGCAAAGAAACTATGAGTTCGAATGGTTACAATTTTTTAATTTACTATTCATAAATTATAGTTTGTAATGGTGCGAGAAAAAAAAATTATAGTGGACCAACTACAAACCACTTTACATAGAAATAAATTTGGTTTGTGGTAGTTTTTGTTGTCCGTCCTAAAGATAGAATAGACCAAATCGTTGATGGATTAGTCCTCAAACATCTATTCAATTAAGAGATTGAATAGTTACAACTGTTGGATCAATGATTATTAAATATAAATATTACATTATTAGTTTTTAAAAGTTTTTAAGACTATTTTACTCAAGGTACACAAACTAATATATTAACGAAATAAAAGAACGAATAATATATAATTATAAACACTATAAAACTCACACAAATAGAAAAAAATCAAAAATTTTATGTCACAAAACCTACACTATTTTTCACCACGTCATTATAAGTTTCTATTATATTTTCTTAGTTTTATTCTAAAAAACCTTAAATTGGATTAAATGAGAAACATAGTGAAAACTAGTTTCCAACAATTTTTTCTGTAGTTTTGATGTTTTATGATGATTAAGATCATAATACAAATTAGTCTCTCGATATCTACAATATGATAATGATCACTTGGTAGAAAATTAGAAATTGATTTTTGATTTCTATTTACTAAAACAATAACCAATAAATTAACTACTATCACTTGATGATATAAGTAACACAAGATAAAATTTTTATATATTAGCTTCTCTCGATCGACAAAAGAAATTATGTTAGCTTTTTGTTATTGGATAATAATTAGATATTTTTGATTATTATATATTTTTCGTGAAAACTAAGGAATATGGTGTAATGCGTTTGCACATATGAATGAATACATCTCCCTTCTCAACTACTCAAACGTCGATATCATGTTTCACTTTCTTTGCTTGTTTTTTTGTCTTTCCACACCTAACTTTTGGGTTCTTTTGCATTACACCATTTTCTCTAATTACAGCTCTTTAATTGCATAATCTACCTTGTTAAAAAGTACACTAATCAATGTGTAGTGCCTCTTGTTTTAAATTCAATCTATTAAAGTACTACAATATTATACAAATACCACATGCATGTGTGGTTTTGAGTATGACAAAACATCTAAAAACCATTAGTCCCACTCTTGCATAGGTCATTTAGTGGTTAGAATATATTAGCATGCATCTTCTTGATCAAAATTACTATCTTAATATACAAATTTGTAATTTCTTGATCCATATAACTTCTAAGATATGTAGTGGGGTTAGCTGAATCGTCTATTTTCGAACATATACATTTTAAAATGACTATGAAAATGCTTATAAAATGTTCCAATGCCGTATGTGTAGGGTGTGTTCAATCTACGAGTTGCATTAAATTCTAAATCACAAGAAAGTCAATAAAATTTCATGTGATGGATATCAATAGGAGCCATTAATGGATGATATATCAAAATAGTCAAATTAGTTCTTCTTCGATGGATGGTACACATTTCGGATCGAAGATAAGTTAATACAGAGAACACACACATGGATCGTACCAAACAAAATAACCTATAGATGTGTGCTTTATAACAATAATATCAAATTTGAAAGTTTCATTTACATGGGAGAAGTTTTGTAAACATCAAATACGATCTAAGTTTGGAATCATGTGATAGGTAGCCAAATGCTTTTGCTTTACATTCAATTTTGCTATTTCTTGGCTCTTCATGTTTCGTCACGGATCATTTCTTGTTTCCTTTAATATATACATACGTTGATGAGTCAATGACTCTTATACATGTATATTCCCTATAATATTTAAGTTCATTTGTTTGGAATTTACAGTATTTACACATATAATATATGCGTATATCCTATAGTTTAATACCGAAGTAGATGAATGAAAATGCTTGTACATCTTATTCAATTTAATAATTATTTGTTTCGTGTTTAAGGAGAACTAGTGATGGACCCGCACGTACGTGCGGGGTTATTTTTACAAAATTACGATTTTTTATGTAGAAGCTATTTTGGTAAAATTTTGTTTTATGAGTTTATTTGATAAACTATATATAGACATATAGTTGTAAAATATAGATATTGTATTACATAATAAAATTTTAAAATTGTAATTTTAAAATAATTTAAATGAAGATAATAAGTGATATTACATGTTTATTTTTTTATTTAATCAAAACATTTCTAACTGCTTGCTTAGAGATGTTAAATCGGATTTGGGTTTGGCTTTAGTTTGAATTGTTTTATGTGTAGTTTAGAATTGAAAACCTGTCATGTCCCTTTCTGTCTCGTCCTGACCCGTCCCGTCCCGTCCCGTCTTCTATCTGTCATAAAATTTCTGTCCCGTAATCGTTTCTTTTTAAAACATAATCATTTGCCAATGTTTATTATAAGAAACTTGGTAAAAGATTTAGACAGGATACCCGTATTCCTCGTTTAAATATTCCTTGTTCGATTTTTAATTTTATTGATCTTTCAGTTTCATCTTTATTTCTCATTACTTTCTTCAATTCAAAGATTCATGTTTTAGCCTTTTTGTTTTCTAAAGATTTAGGTATTTCTATTTTTTAATACATGGATTTATTGTAGTTTTGTTATCCGAAGTATATGTTATCTTCTTGTACCTGTCATTT